TTTTGGCACTGTCCCGTAAATTGAATATCTTTAATAGTAAAAAGGCTGTTCTTTAATATTCGGCGCATCTGTAATCCATTCAAGAATGGTTTAGCTTCAGTCTGCACACTAAGCCCTAGAGGTGTCAATAGCCATTGCTGACACCTCCAGTAGGTGTCAATAGCTCTTGCTGACACCTCTTAGTGGTGTCAACTCTTAGTGGTGTCAATAGCCATTCCGTTTAGACTCCATTAGATTTAAATTAGCTTCAAAGAACATCTCATTTTCCATATTTTTTTGTTATGCTCAAGCACCGCTACTGAGATCTCCGATGACACCGCTAACAGACTGTGTAGGAGATTCATCGTGAGGCGCCCTCGATCTCAGTAGCTGCGCTTGAGCATAATAAAGGAATATGTGGAAATAAAATGTTATCTGAAGTTAGTTTAAATCTAGAATTTTCATCCAGTGAATTTCAGTTGGAATTTTGAATATCCTACATGTTTTAGTGACACTATAGCGGATGCACTTAGTCGTCAGTCCTCATATGAATCGGTCGAATGAGAAGGCGTACAAGTTCGGGAGTGGTGTCATTTTATACAGAACTTTGTACTTTATAAAACTAAGGTAGTCCAAGAATTCTGAATTTTGTTTTTCTAGATCATACTTCTGTAATTAAAAATGCGGTGCACTTTTTCAAAATTTAAACTTGAATAAGAATCCTGTTGGACTTTATTTTATCAGAATTCTGAAACTACAGTTTTGTTTAGTTTTTCACTCTCTTTCGAATAGTCAAAAAGTTTTTTGGTCGATGTTTAATACCAAAAAATTTCAATTTTTTGAGCTTTTGGGTCTCTATGGATGGATAAAACCCAAATTTCGAGTTCAAGATGACTGACTGTAAGAAAGTCTTTATTATATAGTCCATAAAATTTGCTAACCGATTCATATAAATTTAATGTTTCTTGACTGCCGTTTAAGAGGGAGAAAGTCTAATTACGAAAAAAAGTTTAAACTTTTGTCGGCTGAGAGAAAAATGTATTAAAACGTAAAAACCCAGTTCTTGTTCAGCAAAGATTCCATTATATGACTGCTGTAGCTCTGGATGTAGGCTACTCATATCATACTTTGAATCTCTTTAAATGCTTTCTATTGAAGAGAAAAAAACTGAAAAAGAAAATGGTTTCAACTTTTGCCGTGCACTTTATTGTACGGCCAAACAAAGAAGAGAAAACGGCCAAAACAATAAGTCAGAATATAGAAATTAATAACATATTTTAATTTTCAAACAAAATTTTAATTAAAATCTAATTATGTTGGTCGGAAAACATTAAAAGATTTAAAGTTTATTTTGTGAACAACGAGGATCAGAAGTATTGATTACCTATGAATACGTTTGATTAACAACCATATTTCTGATTTTGTTTTTGGCGCTATTTTTTTGTTAGATGTTTAATTTTCAGAACGTTGGCTTGTAGTTTTATATATCAGTAGATGCCAAAAAAGTAGCATATTCAAGTTGCTGGACAAAAATTTTCGATATCGACATCATGCGAACTTATCATTTTACAATTTTTAAAAATTTAAAAATGTATCCTCTAAAAATTTTTTGAAACCACTTGCCTTTAGGATGTAAGCCCCTAATATTATTTGATAAAAAACAATAGAATTGGAAATATGTCTAGCAGAATGTTTGCCATCTCGCATTGATGGCGGGCTATAAATACCTAAAATCTTCGAGACGAAAATGTGTCGGGGAAACACTACAATTCCGCGACACCCGTTTTTCTACACGTCAAATCTGATTTTGATACTCTCGCGCTTTGAAAACGCTTTTCTTAACAAGTAATCCCGGTCCTATACTATTATATTAACCTGAAAAGCCCAAGTTTATTAGCGAGACATTTATTTACATACTCCTTCCGATCACATCTATGAATGAGTGCATTACTGCCCATGAGGTTTTTTTTAAGGGCCCCCCTCAGAAATTATCTCCGACACCGTACATTCGATCTTGTCGAAACTTTCCATAAATATTAGGCACAATGAGTTACGGGAATGAAAAAATTTTTTTGTCTCCAAGTCTTCCGGTTTAGGAGTTTTCCAGAGATCAAGGTCCAAAAAGGACCCTGAACGGCGTCCCAAGATTTTTTAATTTGCTTCNGAAAAATCCTCAGTTTGACAAAAAAACTAAGACATAATTCAAAAATCGACGCCGGTCAGTCGATATAGTTTCTTTTCCTCTTTAAAACAAAAAAAAGAATGAACTCTCTACGACAGACCGCTATTAAAAGTCTTCGGACGCACTTCAGGTGTAACTCTTATATAGTGAAAACGCTATATTAAACGCTGGATAAAATACTCGATTTTAGGACTTCTAGAGAAATGCCTGTAACTTTTTGACGCAAGGTCATACAGAGTTGTGCGCAGTCTTATTTTGATCAGAAACGTTTGCTCTACAAAGCTGTGTTTTCAGAAAAATTTTAATTGCATAAGTCGAAAATGTAATGAAGATGGAACAATAGTTGCTTATGGTGCACTTGAATGGATTGCCTTCCTAGCTATATTATTCAACAACAACAAAGAGTATCGTATACTTTACTAATCAAAATTATAATGGAAAAAACAGTAAATAACATGAAATCTAAAGAAAAACTATGCTTCACATAAGACTATAATTCAGAGCAAAAGCCTGGAGCGGGATCCAAATTGAAGTTTTCATCACAGTAGAACGACCTGTTCCATTGACTCAAGAAAGCAACCCAATTTTTATACAGTAGTGCTCGAAATGTTAGAAACAGAGTGATGACATGAGTCGTGACTATCTCTTATTAATTTATACAGACTCTAAAATATAAATGTAAATGTAGACGAATGCAAGCGACTAGGCTCTATCGGAATATAAAATTAGATTGTATTCCAGACCGTTCAGTTAGGAAAAAACTTATATAAAAAGTACTAGTTTTTGCAGCGAAAAAATACGCAAACACTTCACATATTTCGTTTACTTCAAAACTTGAATTACACACTCAGTCAGTCATAGTCATTCCAGAAAAGCACAGGAAACTCTGTTTACGAAAAATTTTACGCCGCAAGGAATAAACCGCAGGATCCTGCAGTTTATTTTTACACACTCGCAGCTTCTTGCGCGTTATTATTCGAAACTCGTTAAACGCGTAAAAGTTTTCGTAATCAGAGTTTCCTGTGCTTTTCCGGAATGACTATGACTGACTGGGCATCACTCGAACCTTCTCCTTCCTTCTCGACTTAACCGCCGATTTGTTTGCTGTGTTGCTATGATTTCAGCTGTAATAAGCGCGGTTAACCACCCGCGGTTAACCCACTTGAAAAACTGACGACGTGGGATCTGATTTCATATTCGGATAGAGCACAGTCGCTTGTATTCGTCTACATTTTACATTTCAAGTTTAGTCTATATTAACTAATGAAAGAAACTCAGGACTCATGTCTAGGTATGCATCAAACCGATAGTTCGGTGACCGAACATGTTCGGTCATCATTCGGCTCGTTTTTAAAAGTTAGGCCATTTTTTCAGATTTTGAAAATTTCGGTATTTTTAAACTTTTAGTCACACTTTTAGTTTTTAAATTTAATGTTAACATATAAATATTATGTTTATACGAGCTTTGAGAAAAAGAGACAATACATTTCTGTTTACTATAGTCGTGCCTGAATCATGGTTAAACTAAATTTTCAATGACATATCCTGTTTTTGCAGAAACATGTGATAATTTGCTTGTATTCTTTGTGACTTAGTTAGCGCAGCGTATCCCGGTCATAGGCTGTAGAACATGTAGGCTGAATAAGGACTGAACTTTACTGAGACTGAACAATAAGAGCTTCAGGTTCAATGAAATTAAGGCTGAGGCTTGAACGAACTCAAAGTTGACATTTTTCATTAAGCAGCCGTTATTTTGGTGCAAATATCGGGCTTTTTACATGATTATTGACATGTGGTGATGTGAATAACGGTAGTCTCACCATCAATAATCTGCTCCTCAGCCTCGCGAGAATAGGGATTTAGAAGTTAAGTTTTAGTTCGAACCTGAGGAACTGTCGAAAATGTTTTGTGTTATGAACTAATATATTCGGCACACTTTATTTGCATTTTTAAGAGCAACACTTCATACAAAACATTTGTTTTACTATAGGAACATCTTCATGCACAACAAATAAAGCTTCTAGGATCGTTCAACTCCATGAGCTGAACTATGAAAATAGATCATTTCTTATCTGAGAAATTATTTGAGCAGATCCGTTCTACCAGGGAAACTGTTTGAACAATTCTTCCACTCACTGGGGTTTGAGTATGCACTGGTAGCTGATCTATCCCTATATCCGAATCGAAATTCTAAGACTTGGCCGCCCTCAAATTTCTGTCCGAATAGGTAAAAATAAAAATTATCCTTTTCTCGTGTCAAAGACATCTTTTAGTGGACCGCATTCCGTATGAAAATGCTCCATCACCTGTTATTCCTAATTAAAGAAACTGGGATACTAATATATTTTATATAGCTGAAACTGCATTTTTTTACTAACCAAGTCTTTCTCAATTTCTTACATTTCATTGAATCAACTTTGTGGAACTGTATTCAAACTGCCTAGCTGCTTCCTAAGGGATTGATTTTAACTAACTTTATTTCCACCATTGTTTCCACCATGATTGTGAGATTTGAGCACCTGACATTTGTGCGACTCCGTCATTAGACACAATTAGACAAGTGTCGGGGTCGCTCAACTGTCGGTCGGTCAAGTGTCGGCGCTCAAACGTCGGTTAATCCTTTCTTTATCTCTATAAGTCACACTTAAATGTATCTCTTCTTCCTGTCTATTTTACTTGTTCTTCCTTATCTCTCTGTCTCTTGCTTATTAACTTTTTTTCTTTTAATCTCTGCCCGTTTACATACGAAGACTGGTAAAAAACCGTTTCGCCGCAAGACGACTAGCTAAAAGACAATTCGCCATGGCGAAATGTCAGTGCCGTTTCGCCAAGAATTTGTATGCTTTCGCCAATTGGCGAAACGTCCGATGACTTTTCGCCACGGCGAATTGTCTTTTGGCGAAACGACACAGATTCATCATTTTCTATGGATCGTCATTCTATGAATATAATTAAAATTGCAGTTAAATTTGTATCAGATGAATTAAGAGACAATGGTAGTATTATTGATATTGATGAAATAAAAAGAAAATTAATTCAAGATTTAATAAATAATTATGATGAGTCTTTATTTGGAAGCAATGTTCAATGAATATGTTGAAGAAATTAAAAGAATTGTCGATAATATCATTATCAAGACAAAAACTTAAAAAATTATAATAGATGGATTAATAATGTATATAATGAAGTATCTACGATCGAAAATGAGATAAAACGTATAGAAAATCTTATAGAAACTGATGTCATGGAGAATTTCCGTTTCCGGGGAAAAAAAAAATTCGACTTTCTCCCCGCACATCAATTCTAGGTCTATTTCTCCCACTTTAGCACCCGAAAATCTTTAACATGTCCGCAGGTGTCAGGGTGTTTAGGTTTCTTTCACTTTCCCATAGGAAAATATTTCTCAAATTTTATCACGGGAAAATGTTTCATACTTCTTTAGGTGTCTAGGTTTTTAGGTTTTTAGGTTTCCTTCATTTTCCCATCCGAAAATGTTTCTGAAGTTTTTATTTCGGTATAACTTCGATAAGTGTTGGTTCGTGATTTTTGGAATTAGGAGATTCCAGGTTGCGTGCGTCGCACAGGTGTAGTATGGGAGAACTATACCGTGCAGGAATGGCAATATTTGAGAATTCGAAGATGGGACATAGTAATCGGGAACTCGAGGATCCCGGTGTTATTCGGCAACTATACTATTGAGGAATATCGATATTCGAGGATCCCGCTGTTGTAGCACTCAAAAATTCCAAATTCCACAATTCCACAGTGCTCGAGAATTTCAGGATTCCAAACAGTATTTATCATCCCTCACATCCGTTACACTCTCTGTACTGACCGAATATTGCAAACAGTAGCAACAAAATGTGTGTAGCCGAAAGCACCAGCACAACACTTTACCTAGGTGAATTGAATGTTGTTTGGCTATTCACTCTCACCAAGTTTCGTTTTTTTTTCCGGGAAAAGGAAATTCTTCATCCTATGTAGAAACTGAAACAAGTGAATTATTAAAATTAAAGAGTCAAATAAATGATAATATAGAAAAAATAAACGATTTAAAAGATGTCATAACATCTCTTAATTCTAATATATAGCAAAGAAATGAACTAATGGAAAGAATCAATATAGAACAGAAAGTAAGTGAAGCAAGGGCGAACTTTAAAGAAATTGATGAAAATTTAAATAGAATAGATGCAATTGATCAACAAATATGTTTATTTGAAGCTTTTATTTTAAGTTTAAACGATAAATCAGGACGATTGAACAATTTTTTTCTGTGATGAATATGAAAAACGAATAGAATTTCTTAATGAATATAAACAAGATTTAAAACAAAATGAAAATTATGATAAGGAAACTATTAAATATTTAGAATCAAATGGAAATGAACATTTAATTTAAAATTTAAAATTTAAAAATATTGAATAAAATTTTGAAAAATTAACAAATGAATTAAAAGAATTATATGATCAAAAAGATAAAGAAGAATTTAATAAAATTAATATTTTAAATGAAATTAAAACTTTATAAGCCGAAATTGATCATGTTCAATCATATGATGATTTTAAATTATGACAAGAAAAAGCTAAACCAATTAAATTAACTCGATTGAATAGTTGTACTCATTATATATTTGAGATAAAAGATAAACATTATGTAATTGAATTACCTGATCCAGATGTAAAAGAAAAAGAAATACAAAAAAATAAGAAAATACTTAAAACAATTAACATAATTGAACAACATAAAACTGAATTAGAAGCTGAATAAAAAATTCTTTAGGATGAAAAAAATGCATATATTGAGCAAAAAATTGAAATTTTAAAAGATAAAGAAGAATATTTTTTTAAAATTATTTTTATTCGCTTCTTTAGTTTTGATTATTTTAATAATGGTGATGAATTAAATTCTATTGAACCATTAATGGCAATTTTATTTGCTGAATTAATAGATCATGTCTTTATGATATTGATGATATTAATCAAATTGATAGTTTAATTGAAAAGGGATTATAAAAACTGACATAAAAATATTGAGGAACGTCGTCTTCTTATATAATAAGTGAAATAATAAATTTATGAGAAGATAGAATTAGAAATACACATAGATGGACTGAATTGATGTTATACAATCGATAGATTCATCTGCATCATTGAATAGTTTTAAATTATTAATTATGCCACATAAATCAAGACATATTTCAATATGACATTTGTTATATTTGTGTGACAATGATCAAGCCATATAATAATAAAATCCTCACAGTTAAATTCTTTTTTATTTTCTGGTTTTATCGTTGATGATAATCCATTTTGTGTAAATATCGACTGATTTGTCGAATTATTTTCCATGATTATTGCATATAATAAACTAATAAAAATAGTTCTTAAATAAACTTCTAGAATCAAAATAAAAACTGTAATTGTAATGTAATAGACAATACTGAAGAGCTAGTGCGTGTATATTTATTTGAATATCAAGAATCATTCTACACTGTATTTTGCTCGCTCCTTATATACTATTTTATAGCATAGAAAGTCCTTGGAAAATACATTAAACACGATTATAGAAAAGTACGAGCCGTAAGAATAAAATTGGGAGAGAACAAAGGTTAGGTCATATATGTGGATAACACTACATATGAGAGAAAGACATCACAAGAGTATCATTCCAAAGTATATATATGAGAGGAAAGATATACACGATGTGCAAAAGGAAGAGATAAATAAGAGTACCTATATACAAATACATATATGGAAAGAAAGAGATAGAGGTACATATATGGGAAGGGAGAGATATCCCAGTCAGACAAAAAATTTAGAAAAACGCGTAAAAATTTTTTATGCGTTTTACGTCGTTTAAAACTTAACGCGTTATGAACGCGTAAAAATGTGCACTTTTTACGATTTTATTTTCGTTCAAATTTTTACGCATTTTTACGCGGTTTTTTTTGTTATTTCTTTGCCTGAGATTCAATCGCAAATACGAATTTATAACATTAAATTATTTTATTTTTATTCAGATTTAGTATGATAACTTATTTAATCGTAAGTATGAATTTAATTTTATAAATTCATACTTAGGATAAAATTAGTCGTTATACCAAATCTGAATAAAAATAAAATAATTTAATGTTATAAACTCTTACGTATGATTGAATCAGTTGTCGGATCAACTCTAAATGAAAAGAAATAATTTTTTTTAATTATTTCATACTTGCAATTGAATTAGCTGTTGGACTAAGTCTAAATAGAATTATTTTATTTTATAAACTTATACTTTCTTAGCGTCAATGGATGTCGCTTCATGACGCTCACTCATTTCTATAATAGCGAGTCTTTTTTCTTTCCTGTTCTGTCCTTTGTTGTTGTCTCTCGTTGGCAAGGGGGAAAAAGCATACTTCTGTACTTCTGGTACTTCTCCGTACTTCTTGATACTTCTTCGTACTTCTTCGTACTTTTTTGTACTTCTCCGTACTTCTGAAGTACGAAGTACGAAATACGGGATTTCGTATTTCGTATACGATTTTTGAGGTTTTCCACCCGATCTCAGTTTTTTGCATTTTTCTCTCCAAAAAAAGTGATCAAATCGAACTAAAAAGGTGATATTCGTGATCAGCTCGATTCGGCGAATCAGAATATGTACAATAAAGCCAAAAATTAAAACCTGCTCGATCTTTGAATTAGCGGCGCCTTACGAAGAAGTATCAAGAAGTACGGAGAAGTACCGAGAAGTACAGAAGTATGCTTTTTCCCCCTTGCTCGTTGGTCATCTCTAGTGATGATGATCATCGTGTTCTTTTTTCTTTCCGTATTATTGCGTCATTGAATTTTCTCACGTGACCTTTAGCTGTGATTTTCGGTCGAGATAAGCTACATACGCTAGTGTATATAGCTTATCCTTATGGTTTAGAACCAATCAGAACACGTTCCATATCTTATCCATTCTCTTTCAACATTTCATTCTGTTCCAGTATTTCTAAGATTACGCCTACGCCTTTGTTCCAAAGTGTACGGTACGCGAACTAATTTGAAAATACGCGCTGTATCAACCAATAGGAAAAGAAAGAACGACAAAATCCACGAATTACCACGCTTGTTTACGCGCTGCTCAAAATTCTCATTAGAAAGTCTGTTCTGTTCTCTTCTCTCCTCTACGAGAACTTACAAAAAACATCAATCTTATTTTCTTCAATTTGTCTAAACTCTTCATTTTTTTGATCGAAATTTTTTAAACTCCATAAAAAGCTCAATCAGAACAGTGTTAGCTGAGAAAAACTTCTTAACTTATCTCACTAATGTTTTGTTAGAGACCAGATTTAAGGCGTCACTGCCGTTTAAAAAGAAATGTTAGTTTTTTTTGCAAAACCTAATTAAAAAAATTTAAGATTTGCAGATTACCAGTTGAGTGGCAGGTAGATGCCTGTGTTTTCTCGAGAAAGAAACATCGCATATCCATATTTGGGAAAACTTACAGATATAAACGACTGTAGCATCACATTTCTTCTTGAGTATTTACGTGAGTAAGGAACACGCAGATGGGTGTTTTTTGAAGCCTTTTAACTGGCCTTTTATTGGCAGTACATGACCTAACATATCGGTTGGTTGTTGCCGGCTTTTACCGGTCTAAAGTTTGGACCGGCCGGACCGGATCGGTTTGAAAATTCTGGAACGGTTACAACTCTGATGTATTCATTCGACAAGCTCTGAGGAGTAATGAAAAGATGGATCCCGCTCTGCTTTTCTCAGCATCTGGAAGTGAGATGTTGAATCTAGGAGATTGCAGCAATCTCGTATTTTTAGCCAAACATCAGTGTTGAGTTTCGGCTTGATATTTTGAAGGTACATAGTTCTTTCTATTTCTACTTTACACAAAGTTTCAAAATGTCTGAATCTGAACCCTCTTACGTCGAGATATTAGTTTTTAAAACAGCTACATTTTCTAGCGTATTGCGCTGAAGTGTCTCTTTTTTGAAATATAATATGTCGCGGAGAACAATAGCAAAATGCTGGAACCTTTATCTAAGTAAGAGACATTTACAGTATTTTTTAACAGAATTTTGAATCATAGCTTGAAAGGGCGTTTAAATGGAAACTGCCGCACAGCTGAAAACTTGTGTGAGTCCAATATGTCACTTCCAGAAACTCAGAGAAGTAGATCGAAATAGAATTTTTTATCAATCGACAGAACGTATCAATCGAGGTTTCAAATTCTTGATAGCTTCTATCATCTAGTTTATGTAATCTCAATTTTTTCTGAACAATTCGATCGTCAATACTGTGTGAATTTGAACGAAAGTTCCAATAAAAACTCTAAACAGATCTAATCTGCACTTGTTGCCTGACATACATTCATTAGACAGACGAGAAATATTCCAAAATATACCTGACATTCGAAGATCCAGACAGATGCATATTCGATTTTCTATTAGTGCGAAAATCCACCGAAGTTTTTATACAACATGAGCAAAGAAAACAGGAGTCTTTTCTGACGGCCAGAAAAGTCATCAGAGAGATAAATGTTATTTTTTACGCTATAGTTCGTGATGAAATTAAGTCTCCATTTTAATTTATTTCTGAAGTTAACCCTCACGCCTGTTAAAAGCTAGCTCAAATCAGAAGTATCATGACTCGGCATGATCATTTCTGAAAGTGATTGAATGACGCTGCTATTTGCCATGTTTTCTAGTCTTGCCGATCGGGTGATTAGCAACAAACTATGAGTTACCGAGGCTGCTGGCAGTTTTTATATCTTGAAAAAAGGCAAAGTTCGTCTTTCGATTATATGAATGCGAGAAAAAGTAAAACAGATGGAAAGATATAAGTGAGAACCAAAAGAAACTACGTTTTTAGAGGAAATTGAAATAAAAACTTGGTCGCAAGAGCACAGTAGTGAAATGCTACTTTGTTAAAAATTCTCCTTGTACAAAAGCATCTTACGAGGGAAGTACTCCAACTGATAAATCGCTTTTTCAACGAAACCGAGCGGACTATAGGTAGTCGACGATGCTGATTTCGAATATCACCATGAATGCTGCTACTAGGCCTTCAAAGACCGGTCTTCTGGAAAACCAGTTTTTGAGAAACTCTAAACAACAACCAGAAGCTTTCTTAATGAGGCGTAATTGTAGTCCATAAATTTCCGATTAAAACGAGGCGTCTCCCAGCTCTACACGACCTTTCTTTGCAAAGTTATAGAGTTTACAAGAAAAGTCCTAAATTCATTTTTCGTTTTTCTTTCTGTAGCTACGAGGTGACAATGAACATTTAGGACTTTTCTTGTAAACTCTATAACTTTGCAAAGAAAGATCGTGTAGAGCGGGGAGACGCCTCGTTTTAATCGGAAATTTATGGACTACAACCACGCCTCATTAAGAAAGCTTTTGGTTGTTGTTTAGAGTTTCTTGAAAACTGGTTTTCTAGAAGACCGGTCTTTGAAGGCCTAGCAGCAGCATTCATGGTGATATTCGGAATCAGCATCGTCGACTACCTATAGTCCACTCGGTTTCGTTGAAAAAGCGATTTATCAGTTAGGGTACTTCCCTCGTTAGTCGAAGTAACATTCTTCTATAGGACTTTGTTGAGTTTATTACTCTCGTTTGAGCTACCTACTCTTGATTTTAATTGGATTTTCCATGAAAGATAGATTTTTCTCAATAACATTGATGCAGGCTGCAGACAGATTACATTTCTGCTTGGAGTGATGAAATTGTATCAAAGTGCATAACAATATGTGTTGCATTAGCTTGAAGAGAACGTTCGAACAAGATGATGATATGAATGAGAATAGCTTGACTTCACTTCATTCTTGATTACAATGAAGAACACAACACACGCAAAGCGAAGACTAAGAGAGAAAGAGCAGAACAGCGAAGTAATCAGAGAGAGAGAGAGAAACACGTGGAAAAAAGAAGACGATGGAGATAGAAAGAAGAGACGACAAGGAGAGAAGATCACACACGTATGTGCTTCATCATTCAGCGAGAGTTCACAACTACAGTTTTGGTATGTGTGAGAGTGCTTCCGTCGTGAATACTGCTTGAAATGATTCACAGAAAAAAATATTAATTTAGATACTATAAAAATATACTCTTCAAATAATCAATACGTCACAGTTCAAATCGAAGTTCATCATTGACGAGGAAATGTGTCTTCGATGTGTGCATAATTCAACTATCAGTGTGATAGACGACTGCGGAAGCATGTCTGTAAAATGATATGATGATTTTAGGCAAAGATTATAATTGTCAATGACGAACTGGAATTAATAATCACCATTTGAATTTCAATTTTAGTTTGAACTTGAGGCAAGCTGATAGATAAAGTTTTTGTCTTCTATAAATAGAAAACTTTCGACCTGAGATTGCGTTTCAACGAATCACAATAGCTAGATATTTTTCAAAGCATAATAGCTTTTTGGTATTTGAAGACTCTTCACTTGAAAAGTTTTCAAGTTTCTGTTACCATTTGATTGATGTCCAAGTCCACTATTTTGTAAAAACTCTTTTCTCGATCGAATTATGTACGACTCAAAATATTTGGATGTTGTGTCATCGCACATTCGACAAACAACGGCGCGAGTGTTGGAACTCTTTTTGTATATATCGCTCATCCTACGGATTCGCTGATCCTTTTCTGAAAGATAGCAGCATACTCAAAAAGACATTTGTATCTAGGTCAGGTGGAACTGGTTGAAAAAATCCAAATCGGACCGGACCGGCCGATAAACCAGCTGGTTAATGCAGCCCGTAGACCGGCGAAAAACGGGCCAAAACCGAACATAATCTCCAAAATTTCGAGACCGAAGGCGTATTTCTTTGTCAAGTTCCAATTTTTATTTCTTATAATCGATGCGACAACTTTCTTTGCTCATAATGCCTAATAAAACATCGACTGATGTCTACTACTCGGACAAGATGCGACATCTAATTTTCATTAAATTTCACTTCACGTGAATTTATGTCTGAAACTGTAAACAGAACTCGATTGGTAAACTAAGCACCCCGTTTTCTTTTCTTAGAAACATTTATATGGACCGACAGTTGCTTCTTTGTTTGATTGCGTGATAAGCAAAAAAATGAATTTGCTAGTTCAACCGATTTAACCTATGACTTGTTAAGAAGTACTAGGTGATGACTCATGACAACATTTTTCACGGTTTTTGTGTATAGTATTGAATACTAAACGCAATCTTAGATAACTGTCAAAAGATGCATATAACCTACGATGCAAAAGTATCCGCACAAATGTCCGAGCGTGCTATGAAACAAGGATTTATCCGATTTTTCTGATTTAGGTTTCATTGAAAAGAGCATGAAAAACAGTTTACAAACATGTTAACAAACACTATAAACACCTTTTTTGTATATTTTCCACAGCTTTCCTCTAACACCCAAAACCATGCGTGTTACCACGTATTGGCCCATTTCTTTTGCTTTTAAAATTATTCTTTTGGCCAAATGGTTTAAATTTTTTGCGCTCCATGCTCCCTCGTATATCTTCTGTTCCAATAATGACCAAATTGTTTCGATAGGACCTGTCTGAGAGACATTTGAAAAAGTTTGATGACGTTGTACATAACTGATATTACTTCATAATTAACATGAAAGTTACAATTAATTTTGCAAACTCTTTTTGGTCCAGTTTCGTTTTTAATTATGAATTTAATTATGAATGACCATGTCATACATTATTCGAAAGAGCTCATTTCTCTCTATCAGAGCTCAGGTTTGCAGATTTAGATTCCCCGTCAAAAACTGTATTTAGCCAAACCTCTTTTAACTTTCTAAACTCGAAACTGGAATTTTGGAAGAGTCCGGAATTAGGATCAAAAACTTAATCGATTCAAATGTGTTCAAAATTTAAGGAAACTACCGCATCTAATAGAAAATGGAATAGATAGATCACAGCAAACTAGAATACCTCTAGACAGACTGGAAACGGCGCTAACTGCTCTCATTAAGGGTAGCCCCTTCCTCTTTTTGAACTGCAAAACTGCAATACCATGATGTTTCGTCAAACAGGCTTATTTATTACGTCTCCTATTTTTTCGCAGTGCCGAGCCACAAATGGACACTGTCAAAAATATGAAATGTCTAACTTTTGTATAATCTCAAACTGTTTACACTGTGATACAGTTAATGTTTAAAAATCTCAACTACAAAATTTTTCGTTGACTAAACACCGTTTTTTCAGAAAATCTTGCCATAAATTGAGTTAATTATCAAAATATTTTATCTTACGTAGATTGTTATCTAATCGTGCGTATTTATTCGTTTATCTAATCTTCCATTGTTATCATCGATAGTAAAATTAGTTGAAAATAATAAACCATTACAGGATTATACAATATTAAATATTCAACATCAACTAGGTGATGTAACTGCTCAAACAGAAGCATTAATAGCCTTAGGTGCATTGCCTTCTAATCGATATTTTCTTCCACCACCCTATACACATCATAGAGAATTTGAATTATTTGTTTTTAAATATTATGGAATTTCAAAAGAAAACTTTTTTCAATCTTCTTCATATCGTTTACGTTATAACTATGACAAATGTCGTTTATTACAAGTTATATTTGAATTCCATCAAATGATTAAAATAGAATTATCGAAGAAAAGACAAAAACATAATAATTTACTTGTATTGGATGACGGAGGATATTTTTCTGAAGCATTAACAACTTTACTTGACATTCATAATGAAATAGTAGATCCTAATGAATTACTAAAAAATCTTCCATATTATTAAAAACAACAAAATCTGACGAAACATTTATTATATCATATTTTCAGTCAATTGAAACTCGTCTTATTGAACAAACATCACATGGTATGTTTAAATATGTCGATCAACAAGATATATCTAAAACATTAAATAAATTTGGAATATCTATTATTGACGTTGCATCAAGTGAGTCTAAAAAACGTTTAGAACCTACTATTATTGCTGAAGCATGTTTGAATATGTTATCGTATTTATTTTATGATGCACTAAATCATCTACGAGTTCCTAAACCATTGAAATCACAGAATTGTTTATTACTTGGCTATGGACAAACAGTAGGTTATGCTTTAACGGACTATGGAGATTTAGAATTATTTTCAAAATATTCTGTTAAAGTATGGGATCGAGACGTAATGAGACATAAAATAGCAGAAAATAATGGTTTCGAAATATTCAATCAATGGAATAATAAAGAAGAATTTGATTATATTATCGGTTGCACTGGTCGTTGCTCATTACCTTTGTCCTCTTTATCTTTATTACGTAATAATTGTTATTTAATAAGTGTATCATCGGCAGCTATAGAATTTCCATTTAATGACATGATTGAGCATTCATTATTAAATGGTAATAAAAATCTAATGAAAATAAGCTTGTCTGATATACAATTAAATGAATTAAATAATGAAAATATACATCGTAATATAACATTCCAAATTAAAAATCAAAGAAATATAACTATAGTTAATGGTGGAATGCCTATTACATTTTTAGGCATTTTAAATCCAGTAATACCAGAAAAATTTGATTTAACAGTTAGTTGCATGATAGCAGTGAGTATCCAAGCTGTAAGTACAGAACAACAAATAAATGATAAACAACAAATTATACCACTAGATTCGAAATATTCGAAATTCATTTGTAATTAGTTTGATAATAATGTAATTTGATAAACTTAAATAATCTACGAGAAGTGATGTTACAATATTTGTGATGGGAAAAGCTTTTAAACTAGGATGGGATGAAACAAATAATACTTGTTCGTACCAAGAATGTCCATTTCTTCAAATCTGTAGAAATTCCTAGAACTGGCAGAATTCGACATATTCAAATATATGCGGTTAATAAGATCCGGTTCAGAAATTGATTGAATTCTAGTAAAACTCCAATTCTAGTTCCGCTAGAATCACAGCAGAATTGGACCAGAATCAGCCCATTCGAAGAGAGATTCTAAGCGTGAACTAATATAACTCTATATAGATTCTGTCTACGTATTGACAGATTCTGGTTTAATTCTACCAGATTCTTCTTAGAACCTTGTAGAATTCGAATTCTACCTGAATCTGCCAACTCGTAGAGTGAATGTGATAGTGGGGAATATACGAGGGGTACTCAAGTAAAAAATCTTGACTGCAGATCTTGATAAAAACTTGAAAGATTTCTCAAGTTCTTGTTTAGTTCTTTCAGGATCTTATGCAGATTTATCAATATCTGACAAGATCTTGAGATCATCTTGCAGTTCAAGATTGTCGACAAGTTTTGTTACATAATCTATCTTAAAAAAACTTGATCAAGATTTGTAACTGATTCTGACGAAGCAATTAATTAGTTATTAATTAATTAGCAGAATCTTGACAATTTTTCGATATCTGTATAAATGTAGAATAGTTTTTGGATTGTTTAGGTATTATCTTCATTTATTTTTATTTTTATCTACTGTATTCCATTGCGCTCGCTCTGCAGTACTTGACTTTTGTGTAACTTGACGTCACTCGTTCGTACTGCTCGATTACTACGTTTAATATTGACAAAAAACTAGATTCAGTTTATTACAACGTTTATCAGCATCATTTGCCGATATTTACTTGGTACTACTGACGATGTTTTTCTTCTTGTCCCTGTGTACCATTTTACAGATTTGGTAAATGCTCAAAATGACCAGGATGCGATGTCTGACTGGTGTGACAAAATTCTAGTAAAATTAAACATCGACAAGTGCGTTTTTATGCCCTTTTCAACAATTACACCGCGTTCTACTCTAGGAAGTTCACATTTTTTATCAGGACACGCTCTGGTTAAGGAAAACAATAGTAAGTTGTTAGGAGTTTTTTTATCGCACAATCTAACATAGAAATTTCATATTTCTAATGTAATCAAAAAATGTAGACAGATGTTAGACGCAATCCACCGTGCATTTGCCGGTCATGGACTATTGCTCTGGTGTTTATGATACTGCTTTAAAAATGCATTTACACCTACTAGTTTCTGTTCAAAGGGCGGCAGCTAGAATAATCTATAATGACTATGAAACGAGCAGTTTATTACTGATAAACAAATTAAATTTTCCTGAATTAAGTGAAAGACGAAAATATTTTATTTTGTCACATTTTCATAAAATTATGATAGAAAATGGGGCTCTGTCAAGACTTTACATGATCACACCTTTAACTAGCAGAACGTCGTATAGGTTGAATAATCATTGCCAGTGGGCTATTCCTAAAACTAGACCTGAGCGCCGGTCGGAAAATCGGCAGCGGCGTGTAACAAAAATTTTTCGATCAACGGAGGAGGCGGCGTCATTAAAGCCTCACTAAAAGATTTTCCACCATCGGTAGCAGCGGCTCAAAGAAAATGTTCAATCGGCTACTCCTACCACCCAACTACCCTGTCCACGTGATCAGAGGTGTTTTGGAATTAAACTTATAAAAATGGCCAATTGTTTTCCATTCATAAGAATGTTTTATTGTGATTTATTATTCTCTCTTTATAGAATTTATCGTGGTTTCGTGATTTTGCTGAGAAATAACATAATAGACTAAATAAGTTTGATTTGGAATATTAAAGCACTTCTAATGAAAATTTGCTTTTTCATCAGCAAACTGAACCTGCGTTTACCCACTGATGACCATTTGATGACCATTACCCACTGATGACCACTGAAGAACCATTTTGATTTATTCAATCCACAAGGTTTTTCGTACGAGATCTGGCAGGATTTTGTTCGTTGAAAGAAAAACGATTTTGTTCTCCATGTCCATCCTGCGGTATCCAGCAATCTTTTCTCTTCAATGTCTGTCCAGGGCACAGTGTGCATTTTTAGCATGGCAGGTGAGCATGCGACTTTTCTGCTCGAAAATGGATTTATTTTGCTCAGAAGGGATTTTATACCACGCAGAAAATCATTTTTAAGAAAAAAAACATTTTTTCGAAAAAAAAATTTCGACCAAAAAATACCGGAGGGGGCTCCCTTCCCAGATGTTTTTGAAAATCTTTTTTATTAAAAACTGTTCCGTGTTATATACCATTCGACTCGGTTTTATGCGGTGATCCCAAACAAGTCATTTATATTGAATAAAAATCTTTCTGCACCACAAATAATTCGAAAATACCTGAAAAACCGAGGGTTTTCTGGAAAATCAATAACTCGAGACAGGAAACTTTTCGGAAGTTTTCGCTACCTGCATAGACGTGTCATATATAGGACCACATTCTCTAAAAGTTTCATCAAAATTGGAGTTAGGCTAAAGTTGGCGCACGGATTTTTGTCAAACACATCGCTTTGGAGAATTGGATAGAAAAATGTTTTATTTGGTTTGTCCGGCTGGGAAGGCCCAAAAATTGAAACCTTTTTTACCAATCGGTAGTGGACTGGATGCAGATTCTGAATATGTGTTTGTTTATCTTATGGCTTACCTTGATTTTGCGTGCAATCCGATTTACCGGTGGCACCATCGCTTAACATGGTTTTCAGTGCAATTTTTGTTCATATGTTTTTCTCAGCTTAAATTGGTCGCAGGAAATTTTTTTTACCATCGAATAGAGCATAGTTCAGAGTATATTAATCACTATTTGAATCACTGAAAAATCAACTTTCATTTTTTCACCAAAAGCTCACCTGGATGCACACTGTGCAGGGTGAAACTTGTCTGTATTTTTTAGTTTTGGAAAGTTAAGTACTTTTTCTTATAAGGTTATAAAAACTTTTCTCGTGTCTAATAAACTTCTAGAAAACGTATACGTTAATATTTTGACTTTAACACGCATTTTCATGTGTACAAAATCAAAGTATTAATATGTAGCTGAAAAGATCTTTTTTATGTCAGGAATATTTTATTTTTTCCATCAATAAGAAATTAAAGTCATTAGAATGATCCCAGTACTATGAAAAAAATACGTATACCAAAGCAGAGATAGCAGACTATTCTAAATTTCTTCAGGTTTGAATACTCTGTTGAATGATATATAAAAACTTCGATAAGAATATTGACAAGTTATAGTTAAAAATATTCCGGTATATATTTTCCGGAAGTTTATTTGACACGAAAAAGAGCTTTTATGACTCTACAAGAAAAGATGCAAAAGTACTTAACTTCACAAAACAAAACAAATACAGACAAGTTCCTCCACGGTCACCCTGCACAGACATTGGTGAGAAAAGATCGCAGAATGTCGCAGGATAGACATGGCAGGCAAATTCAACAAGCTACTATTTTTATCATCACGACAAAATCCTACAAATCTTGAAGAGAAATTTGGATTTTTTCAGTTTAGAGGGGTAAACGGGTTTCTGAACATTAAACCGGCTTTCCACAGATAAAAAACATTTTTCATCAAAAACTAACATCATATTCGTATTCAGCGTCAAAAACTGCGTTTAGTGACGCGTCACTCGACGTTTTACAAAACGTTTCCATAAGCAAAAATTTTCTTTCGCAAAATACCCTTCTTCTCTCGTTAACTGTTAAATGAACAATGTGTTTGCGAATTGAAGGATTCTTTTTCTCCCACTCTTTCTCCTCTTTATTGATCCATGAAATACAGTTCTATAATACGTCGCTTGCAATTTTGTAAAGTCAATGTAGCGAACATTTTCTCGGTGAGTGGACTGTGCGGCTTCAGGATCTCCTTAATAGTGGTCACACATTTGTTCTAATCTTAAGAATTGGAATCAAGCAAGTCATTAAAGAACGAAGAAATGGCATTGAAGATTTGAATAATACCTTCACGATAACTTGACTTATTAAGAACTTATTAAGTTTTTCTGGTATCTTCGAACATCTTTGATGCTGAGTAGTGTGATTTCCTCTTTGTTATTAGATTTATACGGATTGCTGACGAAGCCTTCATCTCTAAGTATAATGGCACTATCTGTTAGGTCTCTAACCCTCTGTGGAAGAGTTAACCAAGAATTTTTCGTAGGTGGCGTGAAAAAGTGAAGGAAAGCATCCAGCTGTCGCTCCTCGCCTCATCGAAATCCTAATGTTGATCTTGACTCTACCGAAAATTGATTACCAGAGCGTGAAGACGCTCTTAGCAGTATTCTTAGAAGACGTACTTTTTCATTTCCATCGACAGTATTACATTCAATGTCCTGAAAAAGAGGTGCTCGGAAAAGAGACGAAAATAGGAGGAGAAACGGAAACAAACCATCATAACCATACTCCACACGATCCCGGTTTTCTTGTGAAGCGAATGCAAGAAATGTTACCGGTCATACAACACCACCATGGAGTTAAATCATATAGCGCAGCCATTCGTATATTTTGACCCGTCTGTCACTGTTGATCGTAGACTGTCGACTTATGTTAATTTGTGCCCAACCGACAAATTATTATTCAACACGATCGTATATGAATGGAATGGTAAATAAACCATATCATCTCTCATAAACAACTGGGAGGTATCGCGCATCAGCCATCACCGTCTCAGGAAGGCAAACCATTTTTCACTATCCTGTACAACGTTCAGAGTCTATCATCAAAATTAGCCAAAGTGTATTACTAATTGAATTTAAAACAGCCTACCGTTTTGGTTTATGTCGAAACTAGTAATACTCCACCGAAATTGTTAGCCCCTTATTTTCCATCATATCGTCGATATTTTACCGCTGGTATCAATACGCACGAAGGTGTTTTAATACTAGTACAAT